CTTGTAGACTAACCCTTATGGTATTTTTGAACTTGTTGAGGTCATCCCTGAAAAGAATTTATTTGACATAAATTACCTCCTTCTAGATGAATGTACATTAATGTGTTAAACTAGCCAAGCCTTACTTGGTACACATACTTAATAAGTCTGACAAATATCAATGGGTCAATAGAATGTTGTCAATCTATATGTGGGTTTTTTTTTTCATACTCTCCATGGTGCTACAGATTTTAAATCAACACCAAAAGAATAGAACTATTGAACAGTTAAAATTTATTTGAAGTTTTATTATTTAAAGCACAAAAGCTGAATCTGGCTATAAAATAATTGAATTTCTTCTTGTTCTCTGATGCAAATTGGGGTATAAGTGATTTGGCTTTCAAAGGGATTAAATTTAAAGTTTTACAGTATTGTTACTTAATACTTAATTTTCTTATGACTAAACTACTGTAGTGTCCTGAAGGTTAGTAATAGCACTTGACTTACAGAATGTTTTGTACTTTATTTTTTGAAATTGGCTTGTAATGTTGAGTGAGACTGAAAACAATTGGCTAAAATTGAATTAAAATTAAAAGATTGAATTTGTTCCATTATATCCCACAGTGAGCCACACTCTCGATTTTATGCAGCACAGATAGTCTTAGCATTTGAGTACCTCCATTTCTTAGATATTATCTACAGAGATCTCAAGCCAGAGAATTTGCTCATAGATGAAACGGGTTACATTTCAGTAAGTAATGCTCATCATAAAAATTATGAATCTCCGCTAAATGGTGACTTGTAATGGATTGCAAGCAGAATAATATAATAATAATTTTTTCAAAATCTAACATTTATAGTCAGCCAATTTTGAGTAGAAGTCATTCCAGCTTAAATCAACCACCATGTCCATGTGACCCCCTTAAATTTTCCTTTGAAAAATTCATTCTAAATATACCTTGTTATGTCAAAAGGAAAAAATCAAAAATTTTAGCTTCAATTTCGAAGCGGTTTTTAAGTTAAGACCTTTTGAAATGTTGGTATCACACATCTTTTTCAATCTTGTAATGGCTCCTATAACTTTGTACAGGTTTATGGAAGATATATCTTGTAGATTAACAAGATAAAAAGTTGTAAATTTCTACATAGACCGATATTTGGCCTCTCAGGAAATATTCAAATGTGGGTAGCATGTTTTATTAGATTGTTGTATGCCCCAAAAATTCTCCTACGCACTCTGCAAAAATAGATTTTCGCTTTTTCGGAAAGCCATACCTAATCAGCCTCTGTATGGATGCTAAAGTTAACAGGGATGAATATGCTCATACTAATACATAGGCTTGCAAGGTAATTAGAAAAATAATGAAGGTATGACTGTGTCCCAAACATGGTTGCAGGACTATTGACCCTAAAAACTTTGAATGACTAGATGACCCTGTGTACATTTAATATTAGTTATGAATAAATACCAGTTACAGATACACATATCATTCTAGGTGGAAAATTTGATTTTTCTTCATGAATTGCATTTGACTGACACAGATGACCTTTGATCTAATGTATGGAATTCATGATAAATATTTTCAAAAATATAGTTAACATAGAATCACTAGAAAAAAAAAATTTAAATTATAATTAAATATTCATCTTTTTTTCTTTTTTTTTTGGTAAGCAGCTTTAATACATTTTAGTCAACGTTAGTGATTTTAACTTAGACCTGATATCAAGAATACACAACACTCGCACCAACACTAAGACCTTCGGACACAGATCATTTTCATTTGCTGCAGCCACACTCTGGAACGCACTACCACTTCACATTAAAAAATCAACATCAATTGCTTTATTTAAAAAATCACTCAAAACGCACTTATTCCAACAATAACATGAAGCGCCACTGATAATTACTTCGGTTTCTTAAATGGCGCTATATAAGTTCTTACCTTATTATTATTATAAAAATCTTAGAAAAGTTTTCAAAAAATCTGTTCACACATATGAAGTTGAGAAATAGCTTAAACTTTCCACTTAAAGTAATAATATGTTTATCTGTAACTTGTATAAGATTCATAATTAATATTTAGTTTTAGCGTAATTAGATGCAACAATTTTTTCCAATCATTTTGAAGGTAACAGATTTTGGTTTTGCCAAACGAGTCAAAGGGAGGACGTGGACATTGTGTGGGACTCCTGAATACCTCGCACCTGAAATCATTCTTAGTAAGGTAATCACATATAAATGATTTGTCATTAGTTGTTGTCATTATCATATTTTTTTCTACTTTGTATTAAACCTACAATTATTGCTGCATTATACTGATACATAATTGCCTTCTACATAAGTTTAAGTGCCATAATAAAATTGACGTATTTGTAATGTTAATTCATATTAGTATTTTTATTTTATTAATTTACTACAACCACACAAGTAATAAAAACCGAGAGGTCCACTGATTAATCTCAGATAAGAAAGTATAATACATACTCCAAGTATTGAAATACACGCCATCGTGTTGAGATTCAATATTTCGACATTAATTATGTCATCATCCTGATGATGACATAATTAATGTCGAAATATTGAATCCCAACACGATGGCGTGTATTTCAATACTTGGAGTATGTATTATACTTTCACACAAGTAATATATTATTGAAATTATGTTGGCTATTTTCCATTTACTTATGTATCCATGAATTGGTAGTTTAAAAATAATGTAGAATCAATTTCTGTTAAAACCTCAATTGATAGGGTTGTTATATAACAATTTGAATGTAATAAATATAGAGCCACAAAATAATAATCTATACAAACAGCATTTATAAGGAATTAGTGAAGATGGTTTCAGTAAATCCGGACACTCGCTGCGGTTGAAGCAATTGTAGAACGCAATACCGTGACCCATGCGCAATGGTTAGTTTTTAATGACCATTCACTGAGACTGCCAGTTACAATCAGGAGAATGTGTCTCGTCATCTTGCACTCACAAGGAGCTGAGTTGGGTGAGGGCCCAGCTTAGCAATTACATTTTCACTTTTCACACATATATCATAAATAAATACTTATGATAAATGAGCATATCACTAAAGGCATGAAATATTATGGTTTTCAATCCATTAGCTCTGTAATGCCAGTTATCATTTTAAAGATAAAAATTGTCCCATAATTATATTTAATGATTTCCAAACTTTCATTACATGTGTAAAAAAAAGTAGATTACTTCAAATTCTTATATTCAATATTTAATATTAAACAGCAGGAAACTTCATAACTAATAATAATAATATTAATTGAGAATTTATATAGTGCAAATTATAAAAAAATGTTGAAATCAAATGTGCTTCAGACAGAAAGATATGATGTTTCTGTAAAAAATAATGTTTTTGATATACAACTTCTGAATATAGTGAGTACTTTGAAAGTGTTACCTGTTAAACAGAATTTCTAATAAGTTAGTATTTTATTTTGGCAGTCTGGATAGTGTATATTTTCAACTTTTATTGTCCGACTTTTAGAATTGTTGTCTTCTCCAAAGTTCCACATACTTAATTCTCTATAGGCCAAAAAAAAAATATAATTTGCTAAAATTTTATTTTCTAGGGCTACAATAAAGCAGTAGATTGGTGGGCATTAGGTGTCCTCATCTATGAAATGGCTGCAGGCTACCCACCTTTTTTTGCTGACCAGCCAATTCAGATCTATGAGAAAATTGTCTCTGGAAGGGTAAGATGAATTTCAACAACAGCATGTTTACATATATTCAGATATAATTAAGAATTGAAAAAAAGTATAATTTTGGCTATATTTATCTAATTATTTAAGGCAATAATTTGTTATGAGGAGTAATAATTTGGCAATAATTTGTTATGAGGAGTTGCTTGAGATGGATGGGTCATGTGCTAAGAAAAGACCAAGGTGATCCAGTAAAAAGAGCCTGGCATCTAGAAGTTGAAGGTAGAAGAGTAAGGGGGCGGCCAAAGGTGACGTGGAAAGATATGGTGAAGAAAGAAAGTGCAAAAATTTGTTTGGAGGAGTATGATGCACAAGACAGGAAGAAGTGGAGAGACGGTGTAGCTGCATGGAACGAGTGACAGTCAGTAACCCCTTGGAAGAGGGAAGAAAACTGACTTAAATAAATGATGATGATGATGAAGAGAAAAACTGAAAAAGTGTGTATGCTAAGACTCCTGGTCTAAGGAAACAATGATAATAAAATAAAGCAATAATATAAAGATTAAAAGATTCAATGTTATTTGTATTAAAAGTTATTATTAAATGTGTTTGACCAATTGCTGTTAAATATATAGTGAATCAATACAATGGCATACGATTTTAAGTGTTTGAAATCACAACATTTTGTAATTTTTTATAAAAGAAAATTTTATTAGTATTAGAACACTTCTCCAAAACATTAATAACAGTATCGTACATTTTGTATGATATTATTGTAGCCTAATTTGTATATGTAAACCCGTATTATAGTAATGTGTGTGTGTGAAGGGTATCTGCCATTCTTGTGTATTTGTAAGGAACTGTTTTGACTGTCCCCATGTTTAGGTACGTTTTCCATCACATTTTACGGCAGACTTGAAAGATCTGTTACGTAACCTCCTACAAGTAGATTTGACAAAACGATATGGAAATCTCAAGAATGGTGTCAACGACATCAAAGGACACAAGTGGTTCAGCACTACAGACTGGATAGCAATCTACCAAAAACGGGTGAGTCTCGTAAAAGTATAATACTCTATATCCCCATGTTACCAGTTGTTGTATTTGTTATGTCAACCTCGCCTAAGTCAAATAAAATCAAAGCCGATCAAATTTTATGCGCCAGATTGGTCTGTATTTTTAAGCTTCTCTAATCACTGTTGTTTACGTTTTGTGGCGAATGCATCAAGCAATCATGATTGCTATTCTGTGACGTCATTAACAATATTTAGATAGATTCACCATTGATACACACGCTTGCATCCAAGGTTGCATTGGAACATTTCAGAATACAGTAAACCGAGTAACATGATTTGTTGGGTGAGAAAGATATACAGTGCGACAGATTCTGTAATTATAACTTTGGCAACTATTTATAGTTGTTTGATGTTTAATTTTCTTGGTTTGAACTATTCAAAATCGCTTGGAAATTGAACTTGGGAATATTGTCAGAATGATTTGCTAATGCTCTAAAAGATAAATAACTAAATATTGAGCATTTTAGGCCTAGGCCCCTACATATCTGCGGCCAGATTAAGTACGCCTATGTGAGCACCTTTGATTGGGACATACTATTTTCTAGGCTACTGTACCTCAGAATCATGGTTCACATCAGTTTCAAAGCATAAAGTGCAGAGATCACTGAAACTATTACAAAACACTAGTTTTAACAATTGTTTTGCCTTAGCTTGCAACTATTTACTCGCTTTTTATGGTGATGCTTTTACTTTTTCACAAACGGAAATAAACTGTAATAGGCGCATTACCAAGTATCCTAGTAACTTTAACTGAATTCACCAAGATATGTTCTCACCAATTGCTATTTTCTCAATGAAGGGCGATCATGTTTATTTACATTTGCTTTTCCTTGATATTAAAGTGAGGCATTTTGTGTCTACCACTGTATACATTCTAAAAAATAGAGCATTGCACACAATCTACCAAAACAAAGGACTGCCCAGTGACAACTCAAAAAAAAAAAAAAGAATTTGACTTAAGTCTAAAACAGTTTTTTAGAGCCACTTTTAATTTGACTTAGGTGAGGTTGACACTATAATTATGTTTTACCTGTAGTATTAGTTACCTGTTATGCAAATCAAATTAATAAGTATATAGATTGAATGGCTATAGCATGCTTATACATATGAATTTTGAGTTTTAATGATAGTTGCATAACCTTGATATGATGCGCTCCGACATAGCAGCTACCAGCTTCATTAATTTTGTGAATTAACAGTTAAGTTATCATTTTAATTTCTCCACCCCCTTGCCCAACAACCCTCCCATAAAAACCATTTTCATTACTCCTGTATGTGTGAAGCAAACATATATTTCTAATTAGCAGTGGTCAAGGTGGTGATCAAGGTGTTTAGAGCTACGTGCAGTATTCCTATTGCTTTCCTCTATCCCTGAGCACCTTTCTTTGTAGGCTATTTTCCTAAGCTATCCTTGGGAGCCTGTGTTCTCTGATATGCTTTCAAGTTGTCCATTTCTTACCTGTTTCTGTGTTTTTAACTTTTCAACCTTCATTTTCTAGATGACCAAGTGATATTTTATCTGTTACTATCTTTGGATATTGTTATTGTAATCTGTCTTTTGAGTATCTGTTTTGTTGTTGTTTTAAGTTCCTTAATGTTATTGTCTTGACTGAAAATGTGGACAATTAAGTTAAACCAAACAACCATTCATAAATTGTTTTTGTATTGTAAACAATGTATGAGTGTTTCTTTAATTGTTTTTTTATTCATTTCATAACAGTACATAATAAATACTGTAACAAACAGCTTTAAATTAAGACATTCTTTCTATGGGAAAGGGAAAAAACATGTATAATCCTTAAAACCAATAGCTAGAAAATACGGTAGGTGTGAATAGTATACGTATTTATATGAACTTATCTGTAGGATAGCAAAATTGATGAGAGGTCTGCCAAAATATAATTTGGGGGTGGGAGGAGGGCAGGAACACCTCATAACCAATCAAAACGTTCAGTAGCTCATTTACAAGGATCAAGCAAGATACTTCCAACCAGAAACACATTAAGAACATTTTTTTATTTTCATTAAAAACTGGAAAAAATTTGCCACGATTCTGATTTATAGTTGTATTTCACACTATATAATCCCATTCCCTTTTGTTATATAATGAAAATGCAATATTCTGCTTCCACATTTTTTTGTTACTGTATTTCTATGTGCTTAATATTTCCATGTACCGAGCAAGGTGTTTTCTTGCAGGTTCAAGCCCCATTCTTTCCAGATTGTGGCAAAAAGGTTGGCAGTAGTAAATGCTTTATTAGCTATCCCGAACAGCCGCTCATGGAGTCCAGCACTGTGTTATTTGCCGAGGAATTTGCTGGTTTTTAGGTTCAGTAATTTTCTCAATCAGTTAAGGTTGTTGTACGTGAAATTACCAGTTTAATGTAACAGCCATCTGGCAACAAGCATTTCAGAGAAAGCATACATTACATTTGATTTGTATTGTATCCCTGTGTTTTTATCCTGTTTAATAATCTTTGCTAACCAATCAAATGTCACTGACAAGTGTGCATCTAAACATAAGCATGCCACCCTTTAGAAAGGAACTAGTGCTTTCTTTTGATTGATTGATTGATTGATTGATTGATGGAACAGTGTACAGAGGTTCTTAGAAGGATTAAATGCTAAATTTGCATAATATTCTCCAATATTAAAAATATATGAACACTCATGTCTATCATTAAATCAGTAGTGCCCCTGCATATCCCACCCTACATTCTGGAGGAAGGTCCATTAAGGTCTTATTGACGTGCACTCCCCGCCCTAACCAAATTATGAATTACCAGTAGGGTTCAACTTCTTCAGGTGCAACTGACTTGCATTTCCAAACCTAAATATACATCCTAGATTAGACTACTAAGGCCTAATGCCTGTGACCGCCCCGTCTAAACCCCACTCTCAAGTAGATATAGGCATCTGCAGTAGAGATGATGATCAACTCCCCTAATCCATAATGCCTGCATACCCCAGTATTCATCAAGACTAGTTGATCACTAAGACCTAATGTGTGCATATCCCAAATAGAACAGTATATCCACAGTAGTGTTGAAGTCAACCCCCCTGCATACTACAAATATTCATCAAGTGTTGTTATTCACTAAGACCTAATATAGTAGAAATGCATCCACAGGAGAGATGTTGGTCAACTCCCTAATGCCTGCATATCCGAGGAGGGAATTTTCTTTCCTAAGTCCTAATTCCTGCATACCAATAGAGGGATTTAGCGATGATTGTTACAGGCGGTCACGCGACCTAGCTTGGGTATACATGAAAAACATTACAGTGCGAAGGTATAGGAAAAGCTATTGTTATGGTTGCGGAAACAACCACCCACTGTTAACGTGAAAAGTAAATGGCTAGGAAAGGCAATACGATTGTTCAAAATAGTGTTTTACTTATCCTAGCGTCCTCCTTGGATTGTATGCTTTGAAATTTAAGTGATCCTTCATAAACCGTAGCTGGCCCTAACATCACAGCGTAGTTCGCGGGTCGAAGACCATCATGCATACCTAACCATGGCATAGACGTGCAGGGGCCGAGGCCTAACATTTGTTGAAAAATCTTAATGTTTGCGGCCAGTATCCTTCACAGCATTAGCAAAACATTAAGGCAAAATATTTAAGTTTAATTTCCAATCAATTTGGTATATTTTACTGGGAATTATGATGATCTTTACAGCAATAAACAAGGGACGGCCGCGATAGAAATCTCTGTCAGTGGATTGTTTATATCCAATACCCAAGTTAGGTCATGTGACGCCCATTGCTAAATCCCTCTATAGACGTACGTACTCAGATTAGTGATGTCCAACCAGTGATGAAAAAGTGTTGGGGTCCCAGGGATGAGGGAGTGTTAGGGTCCCAGGTTCGAGAGTGTTAGGGTCCCAGGAGCTAGAAAGTGTTGAGTCCAAGTGGCTAGAAAGTGTTGGGGACCCAGGGATGAGAAAGTTTTGGGGCCCCATGCATTTCAGTAATTCAGTACAGGTATCATGAAAGTGTCCCTTGCACGAAGAATATCAAATAATACCATAGCCAAAATTTTATTTCTTTGTGAATTCTAGTGCCCTTTAAATCATGGTAATAATAATAATAATAATAATAATGTAAAGAAAAATTTGTAATCTCAATTTTTGGGAAAAACAGTGCACAGTGCCACTGTGAAATCGTGGTAGAGCTAATATAGTATTGGAGATGAGAAAAGAAGCCCATGGGGCTTCTTTTCAAGATAGCATGGGATTCTTTTCGAGATGGTACAGTACAAATACTGTACATGAATTTCAAAGAAACAAAATAAATTAAAAGGCGCTTGTTTCATACAGTAGTTTAGGTGTTTTAATGCCGGTTAATACACTCCAGGATACAGATTGATGTTACAGTGGCATTTTATTGTTTTGTAGTAGTAATTCCCAAAATTTACAGCATTCATTTTAAAAAGAAGCCCCTACTCTTTACTTTGCAAAAGTAGCCCCGAAAAGAGGCCCATCCAAAATTTGCAAAAAAAAAAAAAAAAAGAAGCCCAGGGCTTTAATTCGAGGTTTTTTGGTATATAGGTGTTGTGCAATTTTTGCAGTTGGTTGAAAGATGTTTTGATTTAGAACAGGATACGTATTATAAGTATTGGACATGTGAATACTAGAAAGTTAGTGTGAGAAATTAGCAGTTTTAAGTAGGTATTTGTGATGGTAGCAGGCAAAAATTTTTTGATGTTTTGCTACAGTCAGATGCGATGATAATACTTTTCTGCTAAGCATAGATTATTTGTCACTTAATGATAAAGAGTGGGTTGCTGTCTTCAGTTCCCATATGTACTTAGAATGATAATTTATTAGAATGCACCCAGAAAAGTTTCATATAAAAATGTTATTTTACTTTAACAATCACCCAAACTGATGTGTGATGTGTTGGGGGTCAGTTTTTTTCAGAATTAGTTGCTGAAAGATGACTGGCTGTTAATGATAACCAATCGTAACACAGTATAGATGCGCTGTCACTTAGCAATGTGATTGACCTAAGTATAGCCCTTGGTGTATGGATACCAAAATACATTTGTTCTAGATTTATTTAAAGGGCCAAATTATTATCCATTTCTGTTTATTTGAAAGCCTAAAACAATTAGCCTGTAAGATCAAACCAGAATAGGACCGCATAACTTGTCCAGCAATCATCACTTTCAAGTATCCTGAGTTGCTTTTCAGTAAAAGTTAATTGCACATGGCCCAGTGTTGCGTTTTGGTCTTTATTTTATTTTAGAAATATTCATCCACTAAACACTGATTATTATTACTTTTAGTTTGTTTTAAATATTTTTCACTCATTAATTTTTTTGTCGGCTACAAAACAATAGCTGACACGAGGTGGCGCACAGCAGGTGGATTTTGACGCTGGTGCTCACCCTTCTGCACCGCCAGATGGTAACCATGTGCAGCTGTTTGTGCCATTGTTAATCTTGCTTCTCTAATTATTGATAATCAACGATTCCCAAGTAGATGGTCCTGTTGACTTCTTTAGTTTCTCTTAAGTTCCATTCTCAGTGATTGGTCAGTTATTATCACTGACCATTATTAGGAAAAAGACCTTAAATTGCTTCTAACTTACAAGCATGTTCATGTCCACTGACAATAGGATGGTTATTATGAAGACACTACCATTGAATAACGTGTGATTTAGATTTACATTTGGATGTCTTTTTTTGTATGGATGTGTGCTACAGTGTATTAAATTGTTACATTTTGTTGGTTGACGAAAATGAGCCCTGAATGTTATGATGGTTGACGACAGTGATTAATCAGATTTTCTCATAATTAGTGCGTAACATAAATTTGTGGCCTGCATCTTGAACAGAGAAGTGAGAAGATAATATTTTATTTTTAATTTTTTTGCTAATGTTGCAATTGACCGATTCAATTTTGTTTATAAATGCAATTGACTGTCACTATCATTTATATATTGTGTGGTTCCAGAGTATCTGTAGAATTGAGGGAAATAACATTATACCCTCCTATTTGTATAATAGTTTCCTTCCAGATTCAACGTCTAAGCACAATGAAATGAGAATTTCATAACTACTTCTGTTCTGAATAATGTTAAAGTTTGTACTCTGCTTTCCCCTGTTTTACATGGCATGTTGATTTTTAACTGAAATATTAACATTTGTGGTTTGGTGTGGGTTTTGACTATTAACCAATATTTGTAGATTTGATTAAGTAAGATCATTTAGCAATAGTTTATTTCAGTGATTTGTGTGTTTTAAGTGTTTACCGTAATTTAGTGATTTTATCTTTGACGTGACTTCTTCAAATATTTTAGCATTTTTTAAAGCAATATTTTGATACTTAGTATATATGAACTTGCTTTCTTGACTGTTTATAAACCAAATAAGTGGATAAACTAATTATTTGTTATCAACTAAATTCTTTTAGGTTGAGGCACCATTCATCCCCAAGGTAAAGGGTGCAAGTGACACAAGCAATTTTGATGACTATGAGGAAGAAACGCTGGTGATCTCAAGTACAGAGAAATGTGCAAGGGAATTTGCCGATTTCTAGTCAACGTTGTCAATAGGGTTTTCCCAATATTAACCAAAAGCAGTTATTTGTTATAAATAGCTGACTGGGTGACCAGCAGAGCACACAGCATTCAGTATACACATTTTGCATGGTAGATTTGATGAGTAGCCATGCTTTGCCATTCAGTTTTAATGATAATACCATACTAATAATTATTAATATGCTGTGTATTCTGATCTGTTCATTTTTCTTTAATTTAAAAAAAAACAACATATTTTACATTGAATTTAAACTAATTAATAATTTGTTAATATATTTTAAATATTTTATTTTATTTAAATATTTTTATTTTTTTTTGTAAATCAGCAAAAACAACTCTTAGGATTTGACAGTATATGAAATAATGGATGTGATAACGTTCTGTCACAGACCAAATAATCATTCTGTTCAGGTCATATTTGTAAATGTTAGTAATGTAACTTTTAATTTGGTTAACATTTTTCATAAACAAATATTTCTTTGTAGATCCTGGCATGCCTAGCAACATGTGTTGTTCTATCTGAAGATTAGGTAATATAACTTGTTGCTTCTTCCTATTTAACTGCTTGTTTATCTTCCTGTTTTTGTAAATGCAAGCTGGTGCTTGTACCTGGGAAGATCAGTGTATTGTGTGTACAGCCAAAGCAAAATTGGACATTCAAGTTGGTGTTATGAACGTATTCAAATGTGCTTTACAGTGTAGACAACAGTCAGCCTTTACATCCAAAGAAATTCCTTAATTAGTACAAAGCAGAACCTTCCTGGAGTAGGAGCCATGTTAATGCTGTCTGTAGGTCACTCGCATATGCCAGCTCAATTACAAGCAATGTATTTTTACATATACATGCATACTATATTATGTTTGTTTATAATAATGTATATATTACTACTGTATATAAATACACATTGTATAGTAATATGTATATTACCATATACATAGGCGTTGTGTAGTAATATGTATATTATCATATAATTCCACTTATGTATGTTAAGTGTACTTGCTCACATAGTACTATTTGAACCTTAAGTGCACTGTACATTGACGTAACCATCTTAATTAACAGAGCTGGCAATGGGAAGTCATTCATATTCAGAATATATATTATTTAAAACATAAATTTGTGTTATATAGAAAATACATTCACTGTAACATTATTTAAATATTTGTTTTTTCTAAATATACTACACTGTATATTGTGATTGTCATAATTAAGTATGTATTCACTTTAGATCTACAGATTGAGAATTTTTCTTTAAATATCTTGGAATATAAAGCTTGTTTTGTTAGAAATACATTTCATACATATATAATATACAGTATCTACAAGTTTACAATATTTGCCTCCCCTCTCCTCTTTCCTACTGCAAAATACAGTATTCATAATAACTACAACATTTTCATTGCAACTTTAAACTAGAAATAAGGTTTTTAAAAAAAATAATAAATTCCTATTATACTGGTTAAAGGTTGATATTTTTAAAGTAATAAATTAAGTTATAGTATTTTGTTGTTTATGTTTATAAGGTGGTAATAATGTGTCTAGGCAACAATTTCAACCTATCCATATTTATGTACAAGTCTATCATCACAGCCTGTAGAATTTCTTCCTGTTGGTTTTTGTCCGAACATATTTTGATGATAATCTTGTCATAATTACCTCATATAAGAAGTTCTTAATATAATTTTTAGCACAATTTTCTAAATAAATATCATTTAATAATATGATTTTATATTGTCCCTGCAAATTGATTGCATTTTGTGTATGAAGGATCAACACATAGTGATAGTTGATTTAATATAAATATTGATGCTGAATAAACCAACTGTATGCCTTTCTATACATTTTGTAAATAACTAATATACAATATCGGAAGTGGTTGGTAGGCATTATGTTTAGTGTTTTCAGGGTTTTAGCAGTTGCAAATAATTGATGTCGACTGTGATGTTTTGAGGTCCAATGCAAGCAGAGTTTCATGAATCAATTCAATGAGTTAGAAAATGTTAAAATAAATCTCCACATATTATTGTACAACATGCTTGTAGCCAGTGTTAATATGCTCAGTCCCTTTTACTCTGTGTGATATTAAAACACATGTTAAATGTATGTTTTGTAGAAACATGTATTGTATCCACTATAGCTTTAGTTACAATAATGTGAATTGGTATTTAGTACTGAATGAGTGGGTCAAGGGTCATGGAAATTAAGGCGTTGAGTATGTTTGCTTTGGAAAATCTCAATGAAGATGTAAATAATTTAAATACTCAATTCTGTGTGAATTAAGGTGGTTTTGAAACGAATTGGATTATTTCATTATTAAAAACTCAAAAGTTCTGAGACCACCTTGCTTCAAGAACCTTTGAAAGGTTTCAATAAGTTGTTAGGATGAAGAAAAATAAAGCTCTAGTTGCTATGTAATTTTGGAATTTTAATCCTGTTTACTTGTTGTAATATACCTGTGTTGGTCCATGATGCATGTGCGCATGTGTTATTTCAATGACCACGAGTTTCAAGCTATTGACCATTATAAGGTTCAAATGGTTTGTTGTTGCAACAGCAAGTTTTTAATGTCAACATCAAGTTTACATCCTACCCTAAAGATGTCATTAAACATTTATGAAGGAAACTCATTCTTGTTTTTCTGTCTTATTTTATCTGCTTCAAAATACAGAAACAAAAATACAGTACATAACAATATAACAGCAAATATAAAATGCTTATTGATGCAGCCACTATTTATTTATTTTTTCTGTAAGCCATGAAATACTGAAACAGCATGAAAAAAAAATGGGTAAAAAAAAGGTTAGCGTGTGCTTCCTGAATGGAAATTGCTGCAACAAACCACCTTCCACCTGCATGTTACAAATATATTTGTTGCATATAGATTTTTTTTATAATCTATAATTCATTTTGTATGCAGTACCGTATTATGTTGGCGCAGTTAGAGAAGACGTGCACTAGGAGCCTTCTTCCCCTATGAGGTGGGGCCAGGATTTGCCCGATGTCCCCAACGAGATTAAAGTGTCGTGGTCAGGCATCGCTCAAGATTCAGGGAAAAACCCCTGAAAAATATGACAATTTAGGGCCGGGATTCAATGGCTTATTTAATCGATTTTAGAGTCTGCATACATGCATACGTATAATTTTTTTTTCCACAACTGGGGACTGGGCCCCTCCTGCTAGCACCATCCCTGCTCCCCCTTGACACACAACTAGACATCTGGATCGGTTGGAGGGCTGGCTCTCCAATTGTTCATGTCGCTGTACCAACCTCCATTACGCACCTTCCCCACACAACTAGGAGTCGAGTATGGATCGGTTACATAATAATAATGTTATACAGTACTTATATTGTGCAAAATGCTGGAGCTTCGATGCGCTTAACATTAAATAACTGAAAAAAAATTTATCCTTCACTGCAAACTTAACTCATAACGCAAATAAAACGTTCATGCAAACACTTAGCATGACTTGTTTGTTGACGTTGCTGTACCAACCTGCAGTAGGAGCCTTCTCCCCTTTGAAATAACAGTTTGGTTTACATGGCTCCCGGTCCCATGTCACTGCACCAAACTGCCTTGTTCCCCTGGAACTAAGAGTATTCTCCCCCTCAATTATATAGAAGTTGAGTCTTTTGATCAGTTGCATGTTTGTCTTCTCCCAATATACCCATTTCTTGGGGCTGAGTCTTTATACTTCCAAAATTCAATTGTTCATATATTATTTTCCTTTCTGTATATTTTGCAACCTAACGAAAACGATAACAAATATGTCATCTTAAGTACTGTTATTTGTGCCTGGAACATTCTTAACAATACATATACAAGCTGATAGTTGATTCATTTAAAAGTCATAGATTGCCTTCATTGTGACATATATCTTACTGTATGGGACAGATTGACTAATAAAATGATGACGCAAACTTATTTGTTACCATCTCCGTAAGCTTGCGTAATCTCCCTAATAATATTAATGGTGCCACTTGGAGTGCTAGTACTGAAAAGTGCCTACAGCATAAAATAATGCTTTTATGAACTGTAAGTCAGTGAGACTGTTGGAGGATAGTGGTGACATAATCATATGCTATGCAAAATTGTTCTGTATATTGAGGACAGTCAGACATATTCATAACTATCTTTTCCTCTGCCTCATCTGCATAAAGTAAGTGCTACATGAAAATAAAAATGAAAATCAGAATGGGTTTAATTTGCCACTAAATTTAATATTCACAACCATATTACTAGCTCTATAGGGCAAAAATATTTAATGTACATATCTATACAAGTATATTCATAAACAAAATTTATCGCATGTATTCTGTGATATTACAAAGCAAATAATAATACAAGTTTTAGTCAATAAAATGGCCTCCACAAGAAACCAATGCAAATGTTTTTTGTACATATTTACTGCACACCTCAGAATGGATTCTTAATATTGTAGGCTCTTATGGCCATGCAAAATTGATGAAGCCATGTTGTCAGGGTGAAACCTCTTCAAGTTCTTACAAAAATCTTTAAATTATCAGCTAACTTCGGGGCCTAATACAGGGAAGGAGAAATTTCATTGTCTGTTAAATTAAACATTGTTTTTCTTATTCAAGTTTTTCATTACAAGTTAAAACCTACTTTATACAAATTAGGCAATTGAAATATGGAATTTGATTTTCCAATTTTTTTTAGCTAATGAAAGACAGTACATCTGTATTAATACAGTAATAAGTTTGCAACGTTGGTAAACTGACAACTAAAGATAAACATCTGTCAATGAAGTCTATTTGGCCAGTAGTCCATCGGTAAGCTGTAAAAAAAAAACACCTGCCACTAGTATTAACAAGTTTGAAACAGCTGCGGTATTGTAGGTTTTATCGGTCTTTTAGATTATGCATTTATTTCAACATCATTCAACCTCGCCATTCAATTCAAACTACGTTTCTGGTAGTGGTTCTTCGGGTTCCTGCCAGAGACCTAGTTCTTGAAGAAACTTCTTTTCTTCATCCTTATAATCCAGGAACTGCATTCGCTGTTTGTTCTCTTTGTCATCAATTGAAGGCTCAACTGGCTTCGCAAGCTGGTGACAGAAATAAAAACATAATGAGTTTTGTTGGGAGAGGAAATGCCCATTTAGTTGTACACACTATCAGTTTTTCTGGAATAATCACTAAAAAACTAATTTCAATATTTCAATTTCTGCTTCCTAATCAAGGGTCTGTATATATAAAGTGACAGAAAGAACCAATCAATTGGACAGTTTGTTGAGGGTGTCTATTGCATTGTCTATTTACCTTTTTCTCTGCTTCTTCAGCATCAATCCGTCTCTTATCTTGAAGTCTGAATTCTTGTCGAGTTATCACGTAATTCAGTCGCTTTACCTCGCGTTCCAAGTAATTGAGTGTGCTATTGAACTGAAACACAAAACAATACATCGATATAATTATTGTTAAATGTGCACAGAAGGAATGTATTTCCCTTTTCACAGAAAACAGAAACAATAGGGAGCTTTAAGATGGGTGACGACAGCATGACCCTAGCAACCCTAGGTTCCCTTATCTGTTGTCCTATGTTCTCTACAAAACTGGGATTGGCTAACCTGTCATAAACTTTGTATTTAGAGTCTGTATAGATGACTACAGAAAGTTATAGCAGTGTCTTTATAGTCAGGTTCTGAAGGAAAAAAATGTTGATACGTTGTACAACTGATTTTTCTAAGACACAGAAAGGATGTTTAACAAAAAACGGTTAAGATCCAGATTTTTGAATATTTAAAACTGGGAAAAAGTGCTGTGTCTTATATCAACATTTGTTTTCCTCTGAAGGCTGTCTATAAAGATGTACACTCAGATGAAATGTGTGCAAACATGTTTAACATAGGGGTCTCATAATTACTAGTGGGGTCCCAGGGTGAAGCACTTGTGGCCCCCTGGCGACTACATAAACAGTTGCACTGATAAATTGTATCACACCCAAAAACTGTTTCAAAAATGTTTTCATTTTGGGCTGGAAAGTCGTGGCCGACTGGAAGAGTTTGGACTCTCTGTAGGAAGCTTATCCCCTTCCACTTGGTGGTACCTTGACTTAAATTGAAAGCTTTGTAATCATACACAATGCGCAGCCTCATCCTTTTTCTGATGATATTAATGCCCACAGCTCCTACACATTTATCTTGAAAATATACAGATATTGCTATTTCTAGTTAAACTCATAATACTATAACCCATGAATTACAAGTGTCAATACAGTACCTCCCCAGAGGGCGCATGTCTGAGAGTCCATGGAACTTCTAAGATGTGTAGTGTCCCAACACTGTCTGCCACACCAAGTAACTGCTGCTTACCTACAGATATAAAGAAACGTGAATAATATCTCATTGACTAGCTTTAAATATTTGTTACAAAATTTTTAATATTTATGAGTAGATTGACACAATTGTTGATAATCTTGCTTCTTTACTTACTGTTAACAACCCATGGAAAGATAGATGTAATGGAAGCTGCAGAGATATTCTGGGACAGAGATGGCTCATGCGTTCTATCCAAAAGGTCCCAAACATCAATGTTGCCATCTGCTCTGGCGATATAGAAAACGGAAGGTCTAGAAGGGGACCAAAAGCCTGCTGTCAGTTTCTTAGCAGATGCAGCCGAGCAGAGTAATGGCTCGCTCTGAAATTAAAAATACATTTAAATATGTAAATGTAGACAAATTTGAGGTTCTTGGAAGTAATCGATGATTAAGCACAGCTAAATTTTTGGGACCGTAATAATAGGGTATTCTCGAATAAATTCCCCGCTAAATGACTGCAAACAAAACTAATTAAAGCAACATCATTCTCAACACTTTCTTTTAATGACCTACTCCAGTAGAATTACATTTTTTTCAAACCTGGTTGAGATTAATAACCTTTATATGATCACATAATAACACACTTTGATGGTAATGTGTTGTAGTTACAGTGAAATTAAATGGCATTCTTATATACGTATCCATTTTACACACAACACAAAAACACCTTCCTCGAGTAAACATCTCACTCAAATATATTTCCCTCTCGACAACCCTTCCCAACAATAGACGCACCGGGACGTTTATTCGAATAAATACGGTAAATAAAGGCTCTGTTATGGCCCAGGTCCAGTTCAAAGTATGGGCTGTGTGAGCAGATCACACTTAATCTAATTTATTTCCAATTACCTATTTAACATTTTCACAAAAAAATATATAAATTCAATGCAGCTTATGGTGTATGACCTCACTTAGCACACCCCTGGATCTGCCTAAGAGGTAATATTTAGGAGCATCACAGCTTCGATTGACTTTTCTGAAAGCTGGCTGATTTATAGTACTGACATATGAAAACCAGTCTTACCATCTCTCCTTCCTTCCATATAGAGAAGTTCCATCCTCCAACAATCAGAAGATATTCCTTGAAAAATGGTGATCTCTGGAGTGTGGTAATACACTGGTCATGGAAGAGTTTAGCAAACTCAGGCTTGGGAGCTGCAAAAAAATATTTTTGCATTTTTTATTCATTCCAATCCTACATTTCTTTATTCATTTCAATTCTACATAACATGGAACTAAGATTCACCACACAATAAATGATTTGTCACAATAATTAAACAAGAATCTACTCACGCTGGAGTCGTCCTGAATCAACATCTTTTTCTAACTTCCAATCAGCATAAACTAGTTCTCCATCCTAAACAAAAAAAAACCCCCAAAACTTATCTGGTGTCTTCAACTAGCAAAAGGATTCAGGGAGCAGCATAAGGACCTGAGGGCTGCTTGTCATAAGAGTGGCTATCTAGTCTGAACATTCAAACTAGCCAGAGTAACCCTCTTGTGGGCTGGTACCCACAAAGGCTGGAGTGTTAACTATATATTAAAATTCTTTTAATGGCTTAGATTTGAAAAAATAGATGATAACCAACTACGCCGTGAAGCCTACGTATGATATGCTTAAAGATTATGCCAAGTTTGAAAAAGATTGACAAATCTGTAAAGTGAAATCAATTATTTGTTTAAATGATTTTAGTTTTGTTTTGTTAAATTAATCTGTCATAGGCACTACTTGTAATTTTTACTCAGACTTCACATTATACTATCTAATTTCTGTACACAACCTAAATGTTACCTCATACAGACAATATGAACTAAGTGTTCTGAAAAATGTCTGGTTTCTCCACGAAATGAGACATATTAAAATTATGATGAGAAAATTACCAAAATAGGTTGGAATTATTATTTTTATGAATTTTTTAGTTAAATATTTTTTAATACTTTGATACGTATTTTCAATAGTATATTTTCCATTTAATTTTTTTTATCATAAATTTACAGATTTTAGACTTCCTGTCTTATTTGTTTATTGTTAGTTTAAATTTGGAACTATTTCTCTCAAAACCTGGTTCCCGTATCAGGGCTGTGAGAACCGTACCGACTTTGGCCGGACCACTTTTAATCAATTAGATTACTTTAAAAAAAAAAATTAATATATGCTGATACCTACCATCCCAACCACATTGGTAAACACATTTATTATTAATGTTTGAATCACATTGACGTTTTAATGTTATACATTTTACACAAAAATCCCCCAAACGCTTGATTGTGTATTGCCTATGTACATTTTAACTTTTTTTTACAATTCTTAATTTTAGTAATTCAGATTGATTTTGAAAACGTTTAGCGGCATCTAGAGGTGCTATAATTATTTCCATAAATTTCTGAACTCCACCAACCATGGTGGGGCTGATATGGGTAAACACTCTATCCTCATGCTAACTTTAAATCTTGCTACTCTTTGAGGGAAAGGGGTAAAGGCTTTACAGGTTGCCAGCATCTATTACCGGGTATCTAGGTGCCAAAATATGTTCACCAACCATGGTGGACTCAGACACAACAATCTTTTTAGTTTAAACTCACATGGTAAAATGTTCTCACCAGTTTCAACCAACTACACAGTGCTATGTGTTAATATTGTCTATAAAGATCTTACCTCAGTGCCAACAAAGAATTTGCTTGTGGCGCCCTCTAGTGGTTTCTTCTCTTTTGCTGATCCTCCTCTCATAGATGACCCTATGCCAGTGTTACTTTCACGCTTTTCTATGTCTCGAGACTGCTTCTCCACTGTAAAATAAATTCTGGTGGTCTATGACTGATAGATCTTCTAATTTTTTGTGGCAAATATAATTTATATTTTGTGTTTCATTTACATAATAATTGGCCTATGCAGAACCATATAGATATATAAAGAAATTAAAAATTAAGTTAAAAAAATAATAATTTTAAATAGATTAAACTAATAGAAAAAAAGGTTATTAATGTTCAAAAGCCCTAAACAAGATACAACATTAGAAAAAAAACATATATACTGTATTTTCTGAACATTTCATTTAAAATAAATGTATAAAAATGAGTTTTAGCTCTGTCCAGATTATCAAATTTTCTTTGACAAAAACTTTGAATGTCTATATAAATAGTCATGATGTGCCTATGTGGTGTGATATTATCATGATCATATTTAGGCTTGTCACATGTTTTTGTCCAATCAAATTTGATAGTCTGGACAGGGCCTTACTTACGGATGGTTCTGTCTCCTTGTCTTTCCTGAATACTGACACATGTGACTGCATAATCACCGTTTCCTTCGATGCGGCTTATTGGAATCTGTTAAGCAAATAATAATCTTTTAGGGCCTGTTTCTGCCGGGCCAAAAAGCATGTTTTTCAACGGTTATTCAAAAACACATGTTTTTTTCTTAGCAAAAATGTGTACCCTAATTGTTATACTGAACAATGATAAAATAAGAAAAACCCCTCTAGTGACTGGAAGTATTTCTATCATTTTTCACTGTAAAATTATGGGTAATCATTTTTGAAATACACTAATTTCTATGTTCAAGTTGATAATTTTTATGTTACTTCAAAATCAGCAAGTTAATTTCAAAAATGATTCTTATGATATATTTTGGTATTGTTCACAGAACAATACATCTGTAAAAGGGTCTTAGAAAGACGATTTTTGGTTACAGTAGCTTATGCTGACGTCACACTGCTAAAGGGGTAAATCGTAATGGCCTATAACTTCATAAAAAATTGCCAAAAAAGGATTTTAAAGTTGATTCTATTACCAATATCAAAAATCCCTCTAGGAAAAAATATCTTTGTAAGTCCCTTTTAAGCTCTGATGGAATAAATCAATAAAAGCATTTTCATGTAACAATGTTTTATAAGTAAGAGGTAAATAATGAATGCAACCATTTTTTGTGCAATTTACTCTGTAAAATTTCTTACTTTAATAACAGGTTTCCAAGTTAAATCAATATGTTTGAATGTTGATGGCACACCAAGAGGTCCATTAGATTTATTATCATCAACTGGTGCTGCTCCCTTTGGTGGTCTAGTATCCCATATTGCAACAGTGCTGAATTTGAAAAAAATTGTTAAAACAATATTGTTTAGAAAGAAAGTATAAAGTTAAACAAATCATCATTATTTTATTAATACCTATATTAGTTGGCACAATGGCTACATTGGGGTTTGAAAGTCTTGCTATGCACTTCACTTATGTCCCTAGTCAAATATTTACCCATGTTTGTGTCCCTCCTTCCAAGAATATGTGTACCTGGTAGGATATTGTGGCATTGGATGGATCAGTATACTACACTTCATGCTGAATTGACACTTTATGGATCTGATGAAAGGGGTAATGATACCTTGAGAAACATGTTGTATCTCTTGGCAAAGGGAATGTTATACATTTTAGAGTCACCAAACTTAGATTTTTTCTTTGCACCAAAAAAGAAACACAATAATTTGTACACTACCAGTTGTATTTGACAATGTATATTTCAAATAGTGTTTATTGTAATGTTATTTCTACAATTATTTATTATTTTTACTACTATGTAGATATATCATCACCTAGGCTTATTGACAGATAGCTATTATTTACTACTAATTTATGTTTTTATCAGACCAAAATGATAGTTTTCCAGGGGGAAAACTTGCTTCACAATTACTTCAGCCTTTTTAATGAACCTGACATTAAGCAGTGTCAATTTAATAGGAGATGTGTTTGTAAATGACATGAGCTGTAGAATGAACTAGACAGTAAATAAGTCTCTTAGCTCAAAAGGTGTCTCATCCAATGAAAGCCAATCTCTTTGTACCTTCAATACACTATAATCAGAGTGAAGCCATATAGTATTACAAATTATGCTATATAACTAAGAGTCATTATAAAGGCCAAGGGTGTACTCATTTAGCTATCATTTCAGAAACTAAACGAGGGGCACACAATGCGAGGAACCACTCAATTTTCTACACTATGGGATATTAGAGAACACCATACCTCATAAATATTAATTAGGTAATAGCAACAGCGTCTCAGTGGTCAATGCCAATAGGCACATAGTGCAGCAGTTTCAACTACTTCCCTGTGTGTGCCAAATTTATTCGGACAAGGGGGAAGAACATATTACCCAAAATCTACTGCTGCACCACAAAACATATCAAAACTGTGTAATTTTACCCTCACAGGTAGAAAAGGCTAATGTAGACAAACGGTTTGCTGTTGAATATTTATGAGGTATAGTAAAACAAATACAACACGGTTTCATTGCAGTAAAGCAGTGAATTCTAATTCCCTTGTTGGATGATTGGGACTACCTCCCTTTGCTTCCCAATTCTCCAACAACAAAGTTTTACTCACTATTTCACCTCAAACAATGTTGTATTTGTATACTATTCAATATCATATCTTTAGCACCTCAGATGCATTATATACATGTGGATGTAGTTTAATATTATATTTTCATTCATTGTTAATTATCTCAACATTATTTTCTTTCTAAAAAAGGAGCCATACCTCAGGCCCCTTTGGTCTGGGACCAACTGAAAGCTAAATATATTAGGGACAGAGATCAGTATCAAAGATGTATTTGAATGACTTACCCATCTGTAGAAGCAGTAAGTATTTGGCAGCATATTTGTTGTCTATTTTCACATAAGATTCCCATTCTTGTGAGCTAAAAAAATAAAGTATTCAACATAAAATCTGAATTCATTGATATTACATTCATTTTTTTAAAAATCAAACTATAACAACCTCAATGAGGGTTTGTTTGTTTAAATTATAATTATTGAAAAGCCTCATTGGCAGTCTTATCACCCACTTATAATAATAAACAATAATAATAATAATAATAATATTAATAATAATAATAGTAATAATAATAATAATATTAATAATAATATCTTTTGTGTTATTTTCCCCTTAATGTCATATTATTTTCAGCTTAACTTGGTTTTTTTAATTTTTCTCTAATTTCTCCATTGTCTAAGTTCACCTTAAGGTAGGTTTTAGTAACATAATAATAATAATAATAATAATAATAATAATAATAATAATAATAATAATAACAATAATAATAATAATAATAATAATAATAATAATAATAATAATAATAATAATAATAATATAATAATAATATGGTAGACTTATCTAGCGCATTATAAGCCCTCTATGTGCTTCACATTATCATTACCCTGGTCATTGTATTTAACGCCTATAGAACACAAACTCAAGCTCCCTGGGAAAGTATTCCATAATATTGCAGCAGCTACATCAGTGCGTTTTGGCATTTAATCCTAGCAGGTACCCACTTAAATGCAGATAAAATGCTTTGCTGAAGCACAAAATTGAATTAGTCACCAAAGATGATGTACACAATTTTGTTTAGTGGGTACAGAAACATAAACATTCATAAGAGTCCTATGCTTATGCCTCTTCCGGGTCAAAAAGTGTATATTAAATCGGCTAAAATGTAATGAAGTAAGAATATAAGATACTTTTTATAACAATATATACATTTTGAATGATTCATAGATTCATGAGATTAAGGTTGATTTGATTTACATTTCCATTCAGACTGAAAATATGAAGAGTTTTGAAAGGCCTTCTAGGGAGCCTAGGCCCATAGCTCACTGGACTTGCCACATCCTGGGCTGACTAAGGTGATCGTTGCTGATTTGGGAACACATTCAGCTTAAATTCTGCCACCAAGTCATTTTGTTGCAACTTCTGTATGAAATATTTAAACTATTGGATAAAATTAAACTGCTGAATTGTAGAATAAGATTTGAATATAATGACTAGTGATTTAGAAGAACGCTGTTTGTATGACTGTCTAGCATAGGCATAGGCCTGTGTTCACACAAAGAGGGATGCTCACTGTGTACAAAATTGTTCAAGCTTTCCATATGTTTCTTTTACTTTTAACAAGTCAAAATTTTTAGTTTATTCAAAAAGATTCACCAAGAATTTTTGATGCATTAATTTAAGTTAAAAACCACTTTGGTATATTAATATGTTTGATGATGATGATAATAGGTGCTGTTATGCTATTTCCACCCTTTTCATTTTAATACAATTTGAATCTAATTTTTGAAGCTAGTCTCTGATTTTTTTCTTGCAAATTTTTTCTTACACATTACACCAAATGTGTGGCCATTACATTACAAACCTCAATGTGATCGGGTACCCACTGGATGTCTGCAATTGCCGTCTTGTGGCTGTGCTCAATGGCTGACACAGCACAGTAGCGAATGATGGGCGTCTTATCTGTATTCTCATCTTCAAATCCAGGCTGACATGATAAATACACAAATAATAATAAATATATTTTTAAACTGTTAAAAAGTTTGCATACAAAAGATATTCCTGTTAAATGTATATTACAGGTACTACAGTTGCATATGAATGAAAGAGTACACACAACAACAAATTATGGATAAAACATGCTGGTATTTTAAGAAAACAAAATTTAAAAAAGAAATATTTACCAAGCTAGTCATGGTGTTCTTCTTGGGTTGCTTTCCTCGTTGACTATTTTTTAGACGGTCAACATGCTTTGAAATATCCCACAAGACCACCTGACCATTGATACAACCTCCTGCAATCACATTAGAGTCAGTGGGATTGAACTTGAAACAGAAAATATCATCTGGAGCTTCTAATAAAATCTGGAAATGTAAAAAAGCAGTATAGGCATAATGCAATATATTAAACTAGCTGAAATAGTATTTTATTACCATTATTATCTTCATCAAGCTTGACTCATATCTGTTATAAGTCTATTTCAAATAAAAAAAAAAAAAATCACAAACAAAATCCATGCTTTTGATTTGCCAAGTTTAAACTTGCCACTCTCAAAAAATGCTTCTTTCTGGTTTGTCTATTGAAAAGTGCCATCATAAACCAAAGGTTGCTCTCCGGTACAAATTCATGTGTCAAATTTCCGTAACAGTTTTAAAAGGAAACAAACTTAACTGTTAAGTCGGGCACTCACTGCGGGCGACAGTCTCCGGCTGACCCGATTCTGTGTAGAACACAACGAAACGACGCACGCAACAGATTTTTGAAAATGACGATTCGTTCAGACTGCCACTGACAATCAGCAAAGAGTGTCGCATTGTGCCACTGACAATCAGCAAAGAGTGTCGCATTGTGCCACTGACAATCAGCACAGAGTGTCGCATTGTTTAGGACTCACAGGGAGTGGAGTTGGAGTAAGTAAAACTTACCACGGTCTTGGTTAAACTAACCACGCTGGTCAAGAAGTCCAATCCGAACGTGCAACACGGTTAAAACTTCTTCCATGTTGACACCGCTCGAACAAAACCGGAAGTTGAAGTCACAAACTAGCGCCCTCAATAATATTTTTTATACACAAGGTTAAATCTTGGTAAAACTATGGTAAAACTAACCGCGTGAATAATCCAAGTGCGAACAATGGTGATATGTACCCATGACTTTGGTTAAAGTTACCCTGGTTAAATTTACCATTTTTTAAATCCAGTGCGAACAAGCCTTAAGATAAAGTATTCTTTATACTTATTATGAGAATCTATAATTACCTGTGGATGGATGGGATCACTAAAGCTCCAGATGAGGATTAAAGAAGGTGCCATCAGCACCTTTGACGCATTATCAATACGTTCATCAAACAACATTCTCTCTGCACATGCTACTGCTATTACACCCTTGATACTGGGATGCCATTCTATTGACGTTATTGTCTTCTCCTTGCTGAACTGCATATCTGTAAATGACTGATATTCCTTGAAAAAAGAAAATTAAAAAAGATTTGTCAAACAATATTGTTTTATACAGTCAACAACAACTAAGTTAAATATAATGTGGCCTTGATAAGTTGTTCGAGCTAGAAAAATCTATTCAATTTGCCTTTAACTTTTTACTATATATGGTATGTAAATTTACTACTATCAGGGTCCCAAGTTGAAAGAAGTTACTTCCAGGATAATTGATTAATTGAGCTCATTCAACACATCAAATTTTATTTTGCTGTCCAAGGTGATACCCATCAGCACCACTGACTTCTACTATAATAGCTGTATTGCTCATTGGGTGGTTTTAGTGAGGCCACCAACGCCATGTTGGAGGGCTTACGTAACGTATCAGTTTAGACAAATCATCTAATGCAGTTTAGAAAAGCACAAGCGAAGTGATTTGCGTTGTTAGTAAGCGACATCACTATAGCAACAGACTTCGCCTGCGCTTTTGCAAACTGCATAAACAGTCGCGTCGAGTGGTTAGATGATTTGAAAATATTCTTACATTAAATTGAAAAATTTTTTAAAATGTGTCTAAACCGATACGTCACACAGGCCCTCCAACATGGCGTTGGTGGCCTCACTTTTTTCTGTACAAAGATTGGTCGATGAGCAATCCAGCTATTATAGTAGAGATCAGCGATCAGCACTGATCTCCATGAGACAATTGATAATAAAGTAGTAAAAATATGCAAACTTTATGAATTAGATGGGTTAATTTCTTTTAGGAGTGTGGGAGATTGGTTGAATAAATGTATACTGATACTGAAACTGAGGCTATCCGATTTTCTGAGAGATTCCTGCAACCTGCTGGACACTTGGGACCCCTACTACTATTCGATTATCGCCAAAAACAAGAGCATTACAAACAATCATACACGAAGAGTCAACTCAGGGAGCAGGCAGAAACCTTAAAGTGAACTTAATCACTATAACAAAAGCTCAGTTGCTTACTCTCAAAGTAACATGGCAATAAAATTTATATAAAAATAAACCCTAAAATATATTATCATATTTTAAAGAATAAATCAAGCAATTCAACAAAAAAAAAGGGGTGTAAGATAAAGTAAATGGAGAGGACTGTTTCTCCACCATTAATTAATAATAAAAATTGACAACTAACCTTAAGATGATTATCAGACTTGCTACCAAATGAGCTGTCTTCATCCGCTAATACTGTCCAGTCATTATTGAACACATCCATAATCTCATTCTGCTGCAGTGCCAACTGAAATCTAAATCACATAATATCGTTATTGTTCTCTAGTTTTAGGTTCATGGCTATAATTATCTATCCCCTGCAATGGAGTCCAGTGGGATGGTTTAACCCTAATTTAAATGTAGATCTAGTTTATAAAACAATATCAAAATTTAAAAAGAAAGAGTGTAAGTTACCTTTCAGAGTTATGGTTTAGTTTCTGGGAGCTTTCGATGACATCTCGTCATCTTCGTCAGCCGTTTGAATCTGGCGTTTAACTGACACGGCAGCATTGATGTTTGTGTGATGACGTAGCAGGCTATTGTATATGGGTGGTAGCTCATATCCGCAACCTCGGTTTAATGGTGGCGTTCTCATTTTAATTTCTATAGCTTAGCTTCTTTTATTTTTCTTTTGAATGAATTAGTCTCTTTAGTTAGTATTTTGGAACTCTGAAAGTATTTCAACATATTGCTATCAGCGCTAGCGGAACATTGGAAAATCACTGGACATAACATTTATTGGAATAAAATCAAAGTACTAACTAAAGTGACTAATTCATTCAAAAGGAAAATAAAAGAAGCTATAGAAATTAAAATGAGAACGCCACCATTAAACCGAGATTGCGGATATGAGCTACCCCCCATATACAATAGCCTGCTACGTCATCACACGAACATCAATGCTGATGTGACAGTTAACCACCAGATTCAAACGGCTGACGAAAATGACGAGATGTCATCAAAAGCTCCCAGAAACTAAACCATAACTCTGAAAAGTAACTTACATTCTTTCTTTTTTATTATCTTGACAGAGTTAGAGAATAACTTCCATGCAAGTATCAAAATTAGTGTTGCTAAACCTTGCTGACGTAACTGCCATTTCTGTCATTGCTGTCATGTCAGCTTTTTCATCATAAATTGTTATCAGTATCATCATTGTTATCATTACCATTGTTATCATTATTACTATCATTATAATCATTGGTAGTGTGACATCATCAAAGAAGATAAGCAATTGGGAGAGTGAATAGAAAAACAGCCAGCCGAGAATAGCAAAAAACTTCATTTTCAATACCTTGGGGTCACATTCTGTATAAAATTCTTCAATTGATGAGACTGGAGATGTTTATTTTTCTCTTCTTCATCAAATTGCCTTGGTGCATACTGGGTAAATTTATTACAAGGATGTTTCCTAAATACCAACAAATATTAAAAATTATATAATTAAATTATTTGTTGGTTAAATTATACACATAAAAAAACATAGGATTTAATTGACATTTTGTTTTGGTAAATTTATGATACAGCTTGAATTCTTCTTTTATGAGTTTGAGGATGAACCCGAAGCACATACCATTCAGTCTGTGAACCACTATCAGTAGTTTCACCAATAGCTTGTACTGATTTATCCAGCTCTATTTTCTTCACGCTAAAGTTTTTGTCTTCGTATGGTGTACATTCAATATAGCCATCCTTTGCATCATCAGGCCCTCTATCAGAAAATTTTATTGGCGCTCCAAACTCTCGGCGTATTCGCCTTAATGTAAAGGATATCTACAATTAGATAAAAAAAATTATTTCTTTAAGTGATTAGCTTCTACAAAAAAAAAAAAAAACATTTGGTTTGTTCACAAGAGTCAATTTTTCTCTGTTCTAGACCATTGGAAGTCTCTATGACTATGATCTTGATATTTTTATTAACCATGCCTGCAATGCGCTACACGCATTTTTAGGAATTATATAGTGCTCTCGTACACACATCTAATCATGAGTGTACGGAATGCTTTAAACATATACTGTACGTTTCGTTCTTAAAGATGCATTACAACAATAAGAACTACAGGTCTCAGATACTTATCGCCTGAACAGCAATGTATATATTTAATTTTATATTTTCATTAATATATATATTTAATGTATAATCTAGAGAATATTAACAATAAGTACAATTATAGCCCACAAAAGATAAGTATATAAGGCCATGATAGTATAGCATTAAATAAGTTTAGTACGTAATATTAATAGCGTCACTCGGACTGATTATACTATAGTGATAAAACAATAATTAATTCGTACTAATTATGACTTTTGTTAATTTATATTTCTTTTATTATAGTTTTCATTGTGCTTAATCAATTTCATGGTATCCAGCTGCCTTTGTTGGCGGTGTGTCACTTTTATTTTACATGTTGCCACTCTCCCTGACGGGGGCCGTGGTCTCCTCGCCCCCCCCCCCCCCCCC